TTTTATGAAGGCTTCCTGTTGGCTCTGTTCTATTAGAACTACAAAACTTTCATGGCTTCTCTGGACTGTTCTTTCTGTCCTCATTATCAGTAAGGAGAGCCTTTGGTATGTATTCTGAAGTGGCTTCCAATACAGTGATTTGAAGGATTTATTTATTTATTTTTGAGTAATGTTTTGGATTGAGCCCTACATTTTTCTAATCGTCAGTGGCTAGGATTGTAATAAATAAAGCATTTTTCATGTACTTAAAATGCAGTATGTGAATTGCATATAATAGAGTCTCAGACAATCTGAGCTGCAGATGAATAAAGTATTTTGCCTAGCTTACTTCAGCTCAACAGACATTTATTAATGTATCTCCTATGTGCCAGGCATTTTCTAATTGTTGGATTTACAAAGATGAATAAGGTATACCTTCTTGCCATTGAGTTTAAGCTAGGGTTAATGAGAGACACAAAAACAGATAATTTCAATCAGTGATTAGTTGTAAGATGAAGGTAAGGATGGGGCTCTGTGGGACCACAGATGGAGGGTAATTGAAGGGAAAGAGAAGATTTCTGGGAAGACATGAGCTTCAGTCTGTGATGTCTCTCAGAGGACAAATGGGTTGATCCACTTGATCCAGGGACAGAGAGCCAACTCAGCTTCAATATTTATGAGAATTTATTGCCTATAAAGTCCATGGATAGGTTTGGCTCCAAGTGAGGCTTGATGCACTGGCTTAAACAGTGTCTTCCATGGCCCTCTCTTAACTACACCCTTGTAAAAGCCTAATGGCTTCTGTGATTCCAGACCTTATCCTCCTCACATATTACTCCCCAAGGGGAAGAGTAAGTTTTTCTTTAGTTTCAGCTCAGTTTAGGGATTTAGTTTCTTTCATTGGCTGTAAATTATAACCATCCCTTAACTAATCACTGTGGCTAGTGGGATACTAATTAGTTTATGTAAGTCAGGGCCTACCTACCTCAAGCTTAGAACGGAGTCAGTCTCATTCAAGCCTCATGGCTAAAGATGGGAGAAGAGGGCAACGGCTGACCAGGAGGCATCCAGCAAATGTTCACTATCCCAGGGGAAGAAAAGTGGAAGAATTTTTTCGGAAAGGAAATAACATAAGCAAAAGCAAGGAAGTATGTACCATTATGATGTATGTGGGAAACAGCAAGTAGTTAAATATTAATACAACATTTAGTATGAGACTTAGAAAATAATTATAAAATAATAATGCGATGCAGTATTAACACCTGCTGGATCTAGTTTCCGTACATTACTTAATTTAATTCTCACAACAGCTAAGTTAGGTACACCATCTTGCAGATAAAGAAACTTGAGCCCAAATTCACAGCTAACAATTGGTTGAACTGGACTCAAACTCAGATTATCTGACTCTAGAGGCAGCCCATGTGGACATTACAGTCTATTAAGTATCTCCCCTATATTGCTAGAGTTTCAGGAAATAAGACTTCATATATCATGCTAAGGAGCCAAGTGTTCTCTGGGGCTCAAGTTTTCTTCAAGCTCTAGCTCTTTGTCATACCATGCGAAAGCAGTAATTCTCAAACTTTAGCATGCATCAAATAGCCTCTAGGGCTTGTTAAAACCTAGACTTGGGCCCTATCATCATAGTTTCTGATTCCATAGGTATAGAGTGGGACCCTAGGATTTGCATTTCTAAGAATTTCCTAGACAATGCTGATGCTGGTAGTCTGGGAGCCACACTTTGAGGATGACTTCTTTAAGGTCTTTGGGAGACTGGAAGATTTGTGGTTCAGAGACATTCAACATACTGAAATGAACTCAAATTTTATTGTACTTCTGCTTGGAAGTATACATGCCTTGACCTCACATTCTTTAATAATACAGAGAGTATATTTTGGTTACAGTAATATCCTCCCCCATAGGTCAAGGTCATTGCATGTGTTTCATTGATTGGATTTCTTCTGTCTCTGATTCTTATTAAGATTAGATTTATTGCTCTGCTCCTAAGTCCTGCTCAATTTACTAGTGCTCAGTTCCCTCCTTGATGGTTAAAAAAGTGCATTTGTATACGAAAGGAATATATTTGAACACTTTATTTTATTTGTTTACATTTTTATTGTGAAAAAATTTAAATATCAGAACAAGTAACATGAATGTCCATTTTTCCACCATTTAGAGTCAACAGTTGTAAATGTATATACATGTATACACACACTTTTTGTTTTTTGATGAACCATTTGAAAGTAAGTTACAGATCTTATGCCACTTCACTCTATTGCAGAACACATTTCCTGATAAGAACATTCTCATATGTAATCACAATACCATAATTACACTTAAGAAAATTAACAATAATTTCCTAATGTTATCTAACATGCAGTCACATTCCAATTTCCCCAGTTGTCCCAATGTCTTCTATATCTGATTGTTTTTTGGTATCAGGATCCAATCAAGTGAAATTAAATTTTAATAGTCAGTAAAGCTGGATGGATCTTTATGCTCAGATAAGTTCTGTGTTATTTAAGATATAAGTTTCATTGCTTTAATAAAGACCAAGCTTAATTAAGGAAGATGTTTACTTCTGTCAGATTTAACCACCTGGAGATAAAGTGGTCCAGGACTGGTAGGCAGCTCTGTTGTTCTCAATATGTGGCTTCTGTCTTTGAGGCCAAGATAGCTGTTCCAGCCCTACCATCAAGCTGGGAAGAGGGGAAGGGAGTGCATACTCAGTCCTTTTAAGGGTAAGTCTGGGTGTTGCACGTATCACCCTGCTCCCATCTCATTGGGGAGAAAGTACTCATATGATGTATCTGTCACATAGGCCTGGAGATATAGGCTTTATTCTAACTGGATGGCCATGAGTCTAGTGATAATTCAAGTACCAAAAGAAAGAATGGCTCTTAGGGGGAGCCTTTAGCATCTCAGCCACAAGTTTGTTTTTGCAAATGACTAAACTATGCTAAACTGTATTAAGTCCATTTAATAGCTACTAGTACATTATAATGACATTTCTCTTTCTGAGATATATAGGGCTAGTGATTGCTTCTAAGCTGAGCCCTGTTATTCTTTTTTGAATTATTTGATATATATTTTATAGATTTCCTGTTGTCTTCTTTTTTGTTGGGGCATAGCTGTCACTGCTCACAGCTATCAGTGTTTTCATACCTTTTCTAATTTGCTATTTTCTTTTCTCTGGGCTGGGGAAGCAGGTAATGATAACCATTATAATGATGCTATGATTTATTGTGTTTTATGTGTGCTACACAGTGTTAGAGACTATTAAATCTTATCTCTAACTTTGGAGCTCTTAGGCAAATATACTCATTTTATAAACGAGGAGGCTGAAGCTCCTGGAATATCAGTAACTTGTTTATGAGAACTGCAACTGTTCGAACCATAATTAAAATAAGAATCGATGCCCTGAGTGAGGCCTGGGAATCCTACCTGTAAAAAGTTTGCATGATTTTCATTACAAAGACTTTGCAGCATCTATTTTGACTATTTAGAGGCATATTTATACTTTTTCATTTTTGCTTGGTACAGACAGGAGGATTGCTATATAGTTAAATTCTGGATAGATGAAGTACTCTTTGTCTGACTATATCTCTGTGAATACACTTGTACAGCATGTATATACATACAGCATCCATACAGACTCATATCTTGTTTTATGAAAACTTTAATAAGCATAGTAGATAAAGAATAGATTTGAAAAGCTTAAAACAATGACTGAAAACCCTACTATGCCTTATAAAAGAATTTGAGCTTTGAGGGGATACTCTTCAAATCAGCATTAACATGAACAATCCCTTTCTCTCTAGTGATCCCAGAGTGGTTCAGATGTATATTTTGTGAATATATGCTAAGACAATATTCAACCTGAAACATCTCTGAGACTATTTAAAGTTGTTAAATTTATTGAATCAATTAAGATGGGATAGAGTATGTTGCGGTAATAAGCACCCCAAAGGTCTCAGTTTGTCTTCTTTTTAAAAAAACTCCTTTGGCAACATATTTTCATTTTTAAAAATTGCCCTTATATCCATACTCAGATACAATAATAAGACTACCATCCATTTCTATGCAGTTTAATTTCTTTTTGAGCAAAGTATTCTTTAAATTTCAAAATTTAGGGTTAACTGTATTGGCACTGATATCCAAAGTAAAATAGAATAGTTACTACACGACTTACTGTATATGGTAAGTATGGGTTAGAGATGACAAATTAATTAGAAGATTGACCTTTTGTTTATTCTCTTAATGAGTAGCTTAATTTTTCTTTGACATAGTTCTTCCCTATATAATAGATTATAGGATACACTAATCACACTAGCAGAACATGAAAAGTTATAGCCACTAGATCTTTCTCAGATTAGGGATACTATACTGTACCATAGAAATCATCATCATTATCATGATCTCAGTATATTTTAAGAACTGTGAATTTTGTAGTTAATGTTTACAGACTAATAGTAGAAGACACTTCAAAATCAATCGATAGTTTAGGGCAATCAGTGACTAGTATTATTCGGTATTAGTTATTTTCTCTCCCAACAGTGCTCAAAACTGTGATTTGTATAAAACTGGTGCTTAATACATGTCTATGGATTTGGTCTGCTGTGTTTGACTGATGTCTAAGTCATTTGAAAGTATGGGGCTGACATACTATGAAGAAGAGAAGGTGTCGTGTAGAACCGTTTATATTTCTGATTTTAGAAAAAATGATATCTTGCAGAGTCATGATTGTTCTTAGGTATTCTCTTGAGCTACAGATTTTAGCTCAAATAAATGAAAATAAATGTATTTAAAACTGTAGACATCTTATGAATAATGAAAAGATTGGGAAATGTGTAGATAGTGATATACAGTAATCTGATAGCTTCATCAGTTTGTGATTTAAAATTTAAACTGCCCATTTTGTCCCTTGGGGAAAAAATTAACTGACATATTTGTGGTGAATAGTGATAAAACCATTACATTCATAAAAAGAATAAGTTACCTAATTTCCTCTAATTCTTATTTAGGTCGCGATTTAATTTGTATCCAGTCTATGGATGGAATGCTGATGGTGTTTGAGCAGGAAAGCTATGCTTTTGGGAGATTTCTCCCTGGTTCTCTTTTACCTGGACCTCTTGCTTACAGTTCCCGTACAGATTCCTTCATTACAGTTTCATCCTGCCGACAAGTGGAAAGTTACAAGTAAGTTTGGATCTTGAATCTTTGGAATCATGGTTTTTTTATGTGTATGCGGCTGATAATTTCTTATCCACAAAGAGCTTGAATATTGCAAATGAAAAAGAGAGTGGTTTCTCTGATAAAATGTAATTGTGGTGACTTAGAGGATATCATTTACATATCATAAAACATTTGAAAGGCAGTATAGTGCACAGATTGAGAGGAAGGATTTGGAGAGAGGCACACCTGAATTGGAATCCTGATTTTGCTACTCACAGCTGTTTGATAGTCAGTGTCCTTATCCTGAATGTAAAGGAGGTAATAACATCTATTTCGACAAATTTGTTAAAAGAATTAAGTGTATGTCAAGTTACCACCCCATAGAAAATGCTCAATAATTATTGCGATTGTTCCTTGAATTATAAATAATAAAACACAGTCTGAGTGAAAAAAAGCCAGGTACAAATACATATATAGAATGATTTTATAACAAAAAAAGAATGTATATGACATAGGAAGAATACTGGCAAGAAATACAAGTGTTTTTATGAATGTTTTTAAAAGAACAGCTTACAGAAGTGAAGTATGAAAATGACCCTATGAAAACAGCTTATACTTTTTGCTAGAAATTCATATTGATTTTGGTGAATTGTGTTTCAGAGAGACCGTTTTCTTCTTTACCAGCTAAATTTCAATAAAAATTATGGTTTTGAGTTTTTGGAGGCTGTGTTTTTTATTGGAAGGGAGAATGGGAAAAAAAGTAGAAATCCATTCTGGGAAAAGAAATAGACTTGGAGAATTATAATATTTTAAGTAGCTTTATTGTTGTTATCTTACTGATGGCAGCATTTAGAACTTTAAACATCTAAGCAACACTTCATTATAGCCTTTCAGTATTATTTTTGGCCACATGATTTTTCCCAAGGCAGGAAGAAAATATAAATTCATCAGGCAACAGATGTAAATTTTTGCCTTCAAGTTTTATTATCGTGTATATTGCAAGTTAATGTAGTTTTCTCTTAATAAGTGACAATCTACATTCTGAGAATTATTGTTAAGGCATCGAGGATTTAAAACTCTGAAAATAAGCAAATGTTTGTGACTAAACAGAAGTTAACTGATGGAGGTAGTGTATCATTATGTCATATTCATCCTACAACTCCTATGGCGCTTGTCCAAAGGAGATGAGTGAGTTGTGGCATTGCTACTGATAATAAACAAAATATCATAATTATTATGAGATGCTGAGAAAAATACCTGTATAATTCATTCAATCCTGCCAAAACTTAAGCAATATTGAGAAGATCTGCTTTTCAGCTTTCCACCCAGTTCTTGCCAAGTAGAGTGATAATAGCAGTGTTACACTGGGGTCATGATACAAAGATGTGAATGTTCCATGACTTACTCTTTGAAATATGGGAATAGAAATTAATTTGGTAATAACTCCAGGAGTGATTGGATGAGAAAACAGTGTGTAGGTTTCCTTAACGTGAAGGTTTAATCTCACAGAAACTCATACTGTTTTAACTGTGGTAATTCTCCAACATAGTGATCTATTAAATTCATCTCCATCTAAGACTAAAAAAGTGCACACTTTATTTATTATGTGGATCTTTTAAAATGGTAGAAATGCATGGGATATGTGATTATTGTGAAATGATGACAATCAAGAGGGTTTATAACATTGAGTAGTATGTTGTATTTATATATACTTTCAACTTTAATAGATTAAATGGTAATCACAGGTGTAATTTAGGATGGGAGAAAGCATGAAAACTGTAGGTTTGGTTTTTGGAGCCTTCATTAAATCTATTTATAATCAGTTAAAAATATCAGTTAATAGAAAAGGCTTTTAAGACAATTCATTTTCATTTTTGATATTGATGTTTAATTACTTTAAAAACAGATCAATTATGTTCAAATAGGAACTAGAGAAGGCTATGAGTCTCAAACTTTAGTGTGCGTAAGAATCATCTGAACATCCTTTTATGAAATGCATATTTGCACGTTCTTAATCCCCAACCCCTTAGATTTTGATTTAGTAGGTTTGGGGAAAAGACCCAGAAATCATCACAAATACACACTCCAGGTGATTCTAATTCAGGACATACTTTGAGTGTTGTTTTTCTTTTGAAGTGAGAGAATTTTTTTTTTTTTTTTTTGGTAGAGGAGGGGCTTTGGGCCATTCCCTTGGCCACATTTGTACAAACTTTGGATCATCTTTTATTCTCTTTTTCTTTCCTTTGCTTGTCAGAATTATATAGTCAGTAAATAGTGACCTTTCTACCTTTTTTTTTTCCTCTCTTATTCTGCCCTTGCTTCGCATTCCCACTGGCATTCAGACCTTTATCTTTTCACTTGGATTTCTGTTTGTTTGTTTGTTTGTTTGTTTTTAACCTCTAATGTAGACTTTGAAGGGCCTTTCTCATAGCTATTCTTTTAAAACACCTCTTTAAGCCAGAATAATTTTTGTCGTCCATTAAAAAATCTAAATCTTCTCATACGACATTCAGTGCTCTTTATGCTCCAGTCCCATTTTACCTCTGTTAAGTGAACTTTGGAAGGGTCTTTTAAAATTAACTGGTTTAAATATCCTTCTTTTTTTAACCTCCTAGATATATTATTGCCCAACACACTGATTTTTGCCCAATATCATATTTGCTTTTTGTATTGTGCTAAAATGTTCCAGAGTATGTCTTACATTATCAGGTTCCTGAGAGCAGAATCTGTTTCAAATACCTGTTCACTAAAGGAATAATTCAGTTCATTGGTTCAGTCATTCATTCAGCAAACATTTTTCAAGAGGCTTCTCTGTGCCACACACTGTGCAAAGCACTGGAGATGCAAAGCCAGATAAGACCTGTCTCTTGTCCTCCAGCAGTATGCCAGCAAGTGGGGAGGTAGCAAGTCAATCAGCTACTTCAGTTCATTGTGATACTGGCTATGGCAGCACTGTGCACAGGAAACTGAGAAGCCTAGAGGTGATACCTTTAAATAAGAGTTGAATGTAAGGAGGCTCCTGGGAAGAAGTATACTTGCCAGGAGTTTTATCTTTCTCCCCTGTTTGCTATACACTTTCCCCTGTACCCCTACAGTGGCTCCTAATATTAATACATTGCTAAGTAGACAATAGTCTTTAAATCAGTATTTTAAAACCTGTTTGTTGAATTTAATGGATAGTATTTTAAAAAGAGGATTGTGTTCTTCACCAGCCTTAGGCTCTTGCCAAACTGAAATATTTGGTGTTATTCATATATATTCAGAGCTTCTCTCTTTCTCTCTCCTCCTTTGCTCATGCTGTACTCTGTCTGAAATGCTCTTCCTTCCTTTTCTGTGAATGAAAATTAGGTCTGGAAGCCTCCCTGCTCCCCATTCAGATCTTGCCTGACGTAGCTGTCAGTAACAACTCCTTCTTCTCAATTCACAGAGTAATTTTTCACTGCTTTCCATAAGCACTATTCATGCTTTCACTGATATGACACATTTACTTGTTTTTCTTCTTGACTAGGCTAAATGTTCCTTGATGGCAGGGATTTTGTATCCCCTGAAGTGCCTAGCATTGTACCTTGCTGAAAGTAGATGTTTAACGAGATCTTAATGAAGAAATGAAAAGTTTATGAGGAAACCTATTTTGTTCCTGGCATCTTTCAATGAAAATGATTCTCCCAGGCATAATCAAGAATGCTTTAGCTATAGCTGGAATGAATGTAGTAATGCTCTGTATCCAGAGCCTCTAATTCTAGTAGAGTTCTGCAGGTTAAACATCAAAGTTCCCAAATCTCTTGGTACACTTTGAGGTGACAACTATTTTTCATTTGAAAATAAATGATTTTGGAGGGTTTACTTTTGTGTTCTGTGACACCTCAATCTGTATTTTAGTTACTTGCTGCTGTTTTTACGATGTGATACAGAGGAGCACTAAATTATACCATTGAGTTTGTCATTGGTGCTCCACAGGACCTGTTAAGCGTTTGTGGCTATTGGTTCAAAAAGAACCACTGTTCACCTGGACTTGCTGTATCTGTGATTAGTGCCCTTTCTGTTCTAAAAAACACATATGACACTCTTTCATTAAATC